CACACACACACACACACACACACACACACACACACGCACGCACGCACACACACACACACACACACACACACGCACGCACGCACGCACATGAACATGCACACACATAGAACTCACTAATACCAGGCTAGTAAGGAGAGAGATGTTGATGGTAAGTTAGCCTTTGTGCACACACAGCACTCAGTAAGTAGTAGCTATGTCCACTCTGCTCAATGACTTTCTTGATACAAAGAAGGGAATGTTCGGGGCACAAGGAAAAGGAAAGCTCTGGGCACAGATGTGTTGAAACAGCACACACAGCATCTTCTCTGCTGCTGGCAGGATGAGTGTGAGCTCAGGTTGTGGAGGAGGAGGAGGAGGAGTGGGAGGAGGTGAGTGGCCAAGCAGGATGGGGGGCTTCAAACGGCTTTGCTTGAGGAAGTGAAGCAGGATGTCCATTTTCCCTCCTGGACCCATGTAAGTTACAGTCTACGCTTCTTGAGAAAGGAAAATGGTAGCATTTATCTTGTTTTAGTGTCTGATTTCCTCGGTGAGGATGGGTAAGAGAGGAGCCTGTGGGTGGCATCCACCCTTCCACTTACCTAGTCTCACAGTGCTGGGCTGCCAATCAGAATTCAAGGTAACATGTCTTAGCCCTACACTTCCAGTCTCATCCTAAATGCTTGTTGACACCGATGTGTCCCCGGAGCTCTCTAAAATGACTTCCTTCTTGAGGGGGTCTTTGTCAGTCCTATCAAGCTGGAAGAATGCCCACGGGTGATCGGATGGGGTGGGACACTCCGAGTCCTCTACTGCAGCCACAGGACGGTGTCTGGGCAAGCAGGGGAGACATCATGAAAAGAGGTCTTGTTCTACCCTGGTAAGCAGAGATGCTGGGCTCAAAGTCAACAAAGAGAATCCCACTGTGCCAGCTTCATAGTACTAAATTATTCTGGGCTTTTCCTTAAAAGTTGTTGAAAGAAAGGCTTGGTGGGTGAAGCACTTGCCACAGAAGCTTGACCTGCTGTGACTCATCCCCAGACCCT